TCCTGCTGATGTTTGGTGTAGTGGGATTAAGCAAATCACCTTACACCATCAAGCTTTTAAGCAATGATATCACTTACTAACATTCTTTCTTTTGGGTCAGACAAACTGACTCATGACAATAACTTCATACTTGAGTCAGAAACAGGGTATTTCAGATGTTGAAAATAACACGAACAATCAAAACAGAAAATGATTGACTGCATTCTAACTTGGCAAACATCCAGTATTCAATCTAACACTATTAGAGAGAACAGTTCAAGAATTGAGTCAGGACATTAGATATGTAGAGAAGTATCAAAATACCTAATGCCCCCCCACCATTCATTATATGTTGGAAGAAACCTTAGACAAAGGAAATTATATCTCGTAAAATTAAGAAAATAATAGCAAGGAAAAGGGAATGAAAAGAAACAGATGAGCATCCTGCCATTAAAACCAACATGAGGAGAACCATGGGCATGAGCTAAAATGCTAGAAAAACCAAGGAAACATTAGAACGTGGAAAAAAAATCGTGGGGCAGTGGCGAGACTAAAGAGTCAGGAAAAGACTCAATTTTAGCATAAAAATCTTATCTTTAACAAAAATAAATTTCGAACCCTCCATACATTAGCAGGAAAAAAAAAACCATAGCATGAATAAAAATCTTATGTTTACCAAAAATAAATGTCGAACCCTCCATAAATTAGCACAAAAAAAAAGTTTCATGGCTTGAAAACAAAAGCGGAAAACAATTAAATTCCTTTTGGAAAACTACGCAAACTTACCGCTATAGAATCAAGCCCGCACCCTACTTTATCATCACAATTCGGATGATAAACAAGAAGCCTACCTGCTACAGCTTTCTCATCTTCATCTGTTAGTTGTTCTCCATCCTTATATCTAGCAGTAAGTAAGAAAATCAGAAGAAAAGTAGAAATGATAAGCAAGGAAAGGCAGACGACATTATAGAGTAAAGGGACCTGTTAGAGTGGAGAATTTCTTTAGCGAGGTGTGCTATAGGTTCGATATCTCTCCAAATCTCTGCTTCTTCATCTTTCCACTGTCGGTAATTTTGCTCTTTCCAACTTGAATACTTTGCTGCCTCGCACAAGCTCGATACTGTGTCAATCAAAACAGATATATCATCCTCTTCCATTCGAATATACTCCGCATTCGAACACCATGATCTCCGAAGTGGCACTAGTAATCCCGTGGCGAAGCGGTGGTGGTGGAGCCGGAGTCGCAGGAGCTGACTGAGAAGTGCAGATGCGGCCATTTTAGGGTCTGGGACTGGCTGGTTACTAAGCTTGTATTGTGCCATTGGTAACTCGATGGGCCCATTTATCTCTTCGTGAAATAAGTGGGCTCGTTTTGAGTCTGTTTCTATATTTGGGTTAAAGACAATCTGGCCTCAAATTTAAGACAGTTTGGTTTTTGAGTATTATTTGTACTAACCAGCTGTACAATTATGAATAATTAGTTATGAAAAAAAAATATTTCTAAATTAAATAGGGATAAAAAACAGAAATAAATTTTCATTATGAAATGCTCCTGCAGTATAGGAATAAATAAAGATTATTTTATACGAGGAGAGAACTGAATTTTAAGTGTAAGCATGGGAGAAATCACGGGAAAAGAAAAATAAAAGCACTTTACCTAATTTTTTACAAAGAAATTCTCGACTCCATCCGACTAATTCCAAGTTTGAGTCTCGAACTGGTATAATGAAATTCTATATTCTATTTCTATGCGTGGAAATATAAATTGAATTCTAATTTTTAACTTTGATTTCACCCATCCATTACTCGAGAAAGGGCTTGGATGATCAAGTAAACTCACAGATCATTCCATCAATCAAAATCATTTATTTGTATTAAAACAACTTCTTTTTTTTTGGACTAATTACATTGGAAGTTATGCATGCATAGAACTTAAAAATGTATCAAATGGCTGTTCCAGAGCACCGTAATTATTAACAAAATCATTAAAAGACTTGGATAAGAGATACTTGCACTGCAGGTTTATCCTTTTCTTCTTTCATTTCCTCTTTGACATTTGATTGAATTTTTATAATTTATTTTGATTTATTTTTGCTACAATGAAATGGGACGCAAAAAGACTTGTCCAAGGTTGAATGTTACTTTTGCAATGAAATGGGACACACAAAGCACAATTGTCCACAATTGAAAAGGAAATCAGACAAGCACAGGAGAGGGAAAGTTGCTGTTGTGATCACCTCTGAAACAAACTGAAACTAATGTTGTTTCGGGTAAAACTCGAGAAATGATTCGACAAGCTATTTCTAATGTGGGTTGCTCTAGCTAGGCTAATAATAACATCGCAGCATCTGTTTTGTCAACTGCCCCAGGTACTGATTCTCCTGATTGGATTGTCGACTAGGAGTTTCTACCACATGACATCTGATGAAACCGTTTTTCACTCTTTAAATCTTGTTCCTTACATCCACTCCATTCAAACATCCTATTTTATCGTTAGAATTCGGACGGTAAGCAAGAAGCCTCCCTGCCACAACTTTCTCATCTTCAGCTGTTAGTTGTTCTCCATCCATATATCTAACAGTAAGTAAGAAATTCAGAATACAAGTAGAAATTGACATTTGAGAGTAAAGGGACCTTCAAGAGTGGAGAATTTCTTTAGGGAGGTAAAGTTATAGGTTCAATATCTCTTAAAAATGATTGACCAGGTGACCAGCAAGTTCACCCAATGATCCAGTTAGACCCTTAAACATACTTGCTTTACTTATTTACTCAGCACCCAAGACAATGACTACTCAGATCAATATGATGCTATGATAGGAAATGTTCTCCCAAGAGCCACAGGACCACACGTTCAAAATCAAAACAAGAGAAAAAAATGGCACACTGAAAGATCTGCATCATTTACCAAAAACCTGTAGGAATATAATTGATTCTGATTGATGACCAGTGCCATGGGCTATGATGTTTATTGACTGTAGCCATGGCCTTCAGAATAGTATGCATGATTGGCGTGCAAACTACGTTCACATTCTCTTTTCCTACAGACCCCTCCTAGCTTATTCTATTGGCGTGTAAACAAGTTCTTGACATGCCAGGTACGACAAATTTGCCAATCTGCAAACAATCAAATGTGGGTCCTAGCATTTGCGAAAAAAGCTTACTCCTGCCAAAGCCATATACGCTAAATAAATAAAAAAAAAGGCAGACGCAAGTCAACAAAGTCGAGTTCATTTCAATCATCTTGTGTTGTCATTTCTAAACAAACAAAAAAACTTGAAAGTGCTAGACATGGATTATCTACTACATTTGACAATTTGGCAAGACCTAGGATACATTCAGGTACTAGAATCCATACACAATCCCCTGCATTTGTGCAAAACTTTAAAATATGTCGATCACAGTGATCTATAATTGACAAAAGAAAAAAGAAAATTGGAGATGGAGGATCAAGTAATCACCGGGGTTATAATCATCATCAACTGCCACGTTTAAAATGTTCTTTAATGAATCTTTCTGCATGAGTTGGGTACTTGGATCGAATGTATGCTCGAAGGCACTTCTGATAGGAGAAGTCTATCCATCCACCATCAGTTCTTACAACAAACAGGCACCTGGAGTTTTTAAATTGGGGATGACGGTCAACCTTCAACAAGAGTAGTTCAACTGCTCATTAGTATTATCATAAACCAACAGAATAGCTAACTTGAAGACATTCACAATTTCACATAGCACATGATTATAACACAAAAAAAGGAGAAAATGATGGGTGAGTCCAATTCTAGCCACAATAGCTGGCATTTGACTTGAGCGAACAAATAGCTCTCTTAATAGAAATGCACCCTGCAAACAAAAAGAAATGAGGAACAGCAAAAGAAAGAATGGAATAGATTCCATGTTACAGAGAAATGAAGAAGGCACCCTTTAAAAGATTTTTATCTACTGACCTACATGCATGCCGACCATGTATGGACCAGAACCCTGCAGATCTCCTAAGTAAAAGGTGCGTGCAAGAAATTAACAAGAACAGTGGGACTGGTGCATGTCCCCGTCAATTTCTTGCCTGACTTTTCGCAAAGTTGCAAGGGATAAAAGGAGAAACATAAAAACAGGGACTTGTGGAAAAACTCAAAGAGATAGAGATAGATAGCATAGTCAAGTGAGAAGAATCCAATTGGCCATGCATCAAAAGTTTCCAGCTGTGTTGCAAAACTGCTTGGGAAATTCCAATGTAGTGTTGGACAGGTTTAAGACACAGGCCATTTACTTCAAAATTGCTAGTTTGACACAAAAATGGCTTGGGAAAGATAGGCAGCATAGTCCATATGAAATAGTGAAAGCAAAATATAATCAATCTGGGGCAGTCAACATCCATTACACATTAGGAAAAGAACAACAATTGATTTGTGGTGATTGCCGAGCTATGAGCAATTACTTTTAGAAACTGTTTTGAACTCTATATAATTCTAATGAGGTATAAAATAGAAGCAGTATTCTGCTTGCATGCGTCCACATGATGGATTCTTCCAACCTCTAAATTGTTATGTGCATGCAAATGTCAACAAACCAATGGTGGAGAAGCAACAGAAGATCTTTAAGAATATTATCAAGGAAAGCTCAAGATGTAATTCTATTTTATTTGTGTGTAATGGCGAATCTAATTGTTTAGATTATTATGATATTTGGTATTGATTAGGGTTTTATTTTTTTTAGAACTTTATCATATTATTCTAGTGTTTCGTCAGGGTTGAAATGCCTATATGAAGGCCATAACCTAGCATTAGTAGTAGGGTGAGTTGTATGATTATTAAAAATTGAGTTTTTTTGTTTTGTTATCCTTCCCACAGCTATTTTTCCAATCTTTCCCTTCCCCTTTCCATCTACTCTTGTGCCCCTTTCTCATTTCTATCTTCATCCTACATCAACCAATTATGTCCACAGCTAAGCAGTTAACAGAATCGGAACTGAATTGCATTCCACTAAAAGGAGCATAAAATTGGAACTTCAAAAGAAAAAAATGAGAACTTGAAAACTAAGGAAAAATATCAGAAAGTGAGGTGCATACCAAGCCAAATTTTATAGCAGTATGGTCTTATGAATGCCTCAGATATTCAGAGTGAATTACAACAAAAAATTAAATCAATAAAAATGTATCATGAATTTGAAAATTGTAAGGATGTGTCCCATCAATAAGAAAGCAAATAAGGAAATAATACAGTGTTGCTGCTAAAAAAATGCAAATCCTTTAAATTTCATGGGTTATAATTCGTATACTAATAAGAAATCTGATTGTTTCATTTGTTTAAATTTCCTAGGAAAACCTCTTCACTGTTAGCTGAAACTTTGATTGATCACTGAGGACCCCTTTGGACTTGTATTCATCATCTAAATAGGGTTAGCAAAATGGCACCCTTCTCAACAGCCCACACCTACAGCAGCAGGCAAATTAACTTGGATTTGTGCAGTGAAACTTCCAGCACATGCAAGCTAAATATCCAAAAAGCCAAGGTACTTAGATGGCAATACCTTACATCTCATCATGATATGCAGAATGTGCGTGTATACTGCATCCTTGAGCCCTGTGCCCACTAATATGGGTCACTTATCAGTATGAATGATGCTCGAAAGATAGAAAGTTGGATCATAGAGATAAAGTAAATCATCCTAGACCTTCAACATTTAAGTAATGACATCCCTTGACTATATTCTTGTCTTTTATGTCTGACCTATATCACTAGCAACACACATGTCAGACATTTGAAAATTCAGATTTAAAACTCACAAGGACAATCACCATGGCAAATTCTAGTTTCATTCAAACTTAGCAAAAGTTCTGTCCTCAAAATTAAATCAGAAGTCTTTGATAGTACACTTAGACAGCCTTACCACAGTGATTCTGAAATATCTACAGCATAGCCATTATGTAATAGCGTGGGAAAATATGCCAGATAAATTTTATACCAGTTAAGATAAATGGTTGACATTTCAAATTTACTTAGAAAGTCCTCCAAAATTGATCCATTTTCATGGGCTTACCTATGCACACTACCATCTGAAAGGGATTTGGCAAAGACAACTTTATAAATGACATTCATTCTCACCAGGTTAACACCTTCAAAATAAATAGTTTGGATTACACATTGTATAGAGGATGGATAAAAATAAAATAAAATGTAGCAGCAATTAGAAGCTAGAATTCAAATCCATTCATGCTATGCAGAGCGGAAAATAAAGCATTTTTGGGCACTTGGGCAGTTGGACCTAAGAATTTGGTGTCACTCAGCAGTCCAGACGATATTTGGCTAGGTGGAATTAAGCAAACCACCCTACACCGTCAAGATTTTAAGCAATGATATCACTTGCTAATATTCTTTCTTTTGGGTCATACAAACCGACTCGTGACAATAA